TTTTTTTTTTTTTTAATTTATTTTATTTTTTTAATTTTTAATTTTTTTTTTTTTTTAAAGATGACCGGTAAGGGGATCTTAACCCTTGACTTGGTGTTGTCAGCACCATGCTCCCCCAACTGAGCAAACCGGCCATCCCTATATGGGACCCGAACCCGTGGCCTTGGTGCTGTCAGCACCACACTCTCCCGAGTGAGCCACGGGCCGGCCCCGTCATGATAATTCTTAATTCTACTTTCCATGGGCTTGGAGTAAATTCCTTCTGTGACACACAGGGACTCAACAAGGTGTGCCCTCCCCTGTCTCTGGCTAAACTCACTGCCGTTTTACTTCGGTTCCTGTTCAGACTTCTCACCTACGCCCTTGCCACTTTGACCTGAGTACTTACTATGAACTCATGGAAAGTCCAGAATCTGATGACAAAAGGTGTCTTTAAAAAAAATCCAACTTTCTGGATTGATTCCACATAGGTACTGAGAAGCCCAGCTAGGAGCACTTACTGTAGTCCATGTCGTCCTCAGGCAGTGAGGCTGCGTAGTCAAAGTAGGTGGCGTTCCACCGGAGCTCTCGGGTTTTGGTGTCATACATAGTGATGGTGTATTCTGGAAAACACAGACCAGTCCATTACCAAGGAGGGGTGTGATGATGCCTACTGAATTGTTGACCTTATCTAATTACAACAAACAAATCCTCCCTAAATTGCATGTCCAAAAGTCCAGGCTATACAAGTGGAGAGAGAAAAGCCATATGTAAGGGAACTGGAATCTCAGACACGATGGTGTATTCTGGAAAACACAGACCAGTCCATTACCAAGGAGGGGTGTGATGATGCCTACAGAATTGTTGACCTTATCTAATTACAACAAACAAATCCTCCCTAAATTGCATGTCCAAAAGTCCAGGCTATACAAGTGGAGAGAGAAAAGCCATATATATGTAAGGGAACTGGAATCTCAGACACGTGAATGAACCCAGCCAACAGCATGTAGAGCAGAGACAAGCCACCCCCACTGTGCCCTCGAACTCACAACTCACAGAATGGAGAACGATATAATAGTTGTCATTTTTAGCCACTAAGTTTTAGGGCAGTTTATTATATAGCAATAGACAGCTGATACTAGAAATCGGTACCTAGAAGTGTAATGGTGCCATCACAAAAACCTAAAACATGTGGCACTGACTTTGGGACCAGCTGGTGGAGGCTGGAAGGATGACAAGACTGTTGGTGGAGACTTGAAACAGCAATGAGGAACTGCTACTGAAAGCTGAAAAGGGGCAACCCAGCTTATGAGCTTCTGTAGTGGCGACACAATCAGTGAGACTACTGCTTGGAGTGACTGGAAGACAGAAAAAATACCTAATGGACTCGAGGATCTGGCTAAGTTTTCCAGGCAGGAGGCAGAAAATGTCAAATGGTTTCTCTTAGCTTCGTATGATATGCTGCAAGACAAACGAGCTAAAGAAGAAGCCATTCAGTTTTCAAGCAAAATACAGATGAAATATAAATGGTCCAGGACTGACTCTGCAGCTGGAAAATTCTCAATGTAAAAAATGGCCTCAGGGTCAAGATCAAATCAAGGGTGAGGTTGTAAGACACCTCTCTGAGACCTCAGAAAGATTTAAGGTGATGCATCATAGACCCTTTGCTAGATAAGAGGGGTTCTAAGAATCATAAGAGAGTTGTTCCATAGCACTCTCACATTCCAAAGCAGAGTGATTTGTGGGTATGGCTCTTATTTAATGAAGTAGACTGTAATCTGCCACATGGGAAACCCACAAAGTTTTTAAAGGAGTGATATCAACATGAACTAAAAGGATCAGAGACAGTCATGATGAAAGAAATGGCTTCTTGATCCCCAACTTTCAACGGACATGGAACAGACTGAGAAAGCTACAAAACTAGCCATTTCTTATGGGAAAGAAAGGGCTTCTCAGAGGGCAGAACCAAGAACTACTGGGAACAGTATATTAAGGATCCAATCTCAGAGGGCAAAACTGGGCCCTAATGAAGGAATATTCTCTGCCCCCAGAGTAGGGGAAGCTGAAAACCTGGACAGGGTGGGAGCTGTGAGGCTAGGGAAGAGGCTTCACAGGGAAGGGAACTTTTGAGCAGAGCTGTGAAAAAAGAGAGGACATTTGCCAGATAGGCAAAAACAGGCATACCTGTGGACAGAGACACACCACTATGAGTCTTTAAAAACAGCACTGCTATTCTGGGAACTGCAGGTAGTTCATCCGGATTGGAAAACATTAAATGAGGGGGATGTAGGGAGGGATGAGGTGAGAGAGGTGGCAGCTGCTTCACAGAGGCTTTGTGGGCCGTGGTGCAGTTTGGACTATGTCCCTTGGGCAACGGGGGGCCATTGAAGGGTCTTATAAAGGGGAATGATGGATTAGACCTGTGTTTGGAAAGCAGCTCTGGCCACCTCCTAGAGAATGAAGCCAGGAGGCAGAAACTAGTCGGGGAGATTCTTCAATTCCTTTCTGGAAACAGGCAGGTTGTAGACAACAAAGGTTCATTTCTTACCTGTTCGCCCAAGATACAGAAGAGAGGTTGATGGGCAGAGACTGTCTGCAAAGGCTGATGACAAAGTCTGCTGCTTCTCCCCGGTCAGGAGGTCGATAACATACCAAATGTCCTGCTTTTTACCTGAACGGTCACAAGAATACACTGTCATTTACACCAATCCTATATGGAAAAAAACATCGCTGTCAAGCTAACAGCCCAAGATGTTCTCTGTGCTGAGAGACAGGTCTGAAATTCTTAGGATGTTGAAGACATTTCTATGATGCTCTGAAGGTGACAGTGTAGATGGTAATGTGAAGATAATAAAACTTCTTGGGCCACTGGGTCATATGATAATAATCTAATCATGTTATTAAAATTTCTCCAAACCTTATAACCTCAGTATAGTAAAAAGTTCTCCAAACTTTTAAGTTAGATTTTATTGCTTTGATCAGTGGCCAAACCCCTTGCCTCAGTCAGCTGATTAAAAGATATGAACGGGTGGACATAACAGGCAAACCACACCATTAGGAAAACTCAAAGTGCATGTGTCTATGGTTTACACACCAGAGCATCCTGGTGATGGTGAGCCACTTGGGTCCCACGCATGATCTGAAGGTCAACATACCCACTGTGATACGTGTATTTCTCTGTTTTGTAAGGTGTGACCTCTGGTCATTTGTATGTTCTGAACTTATTAGAAGAGTTCCCTATTTCCAGGGACTCTTTGAAACAGAATATTGAGATACAGGGGAAGGTCACGGGACATTAGGATTTGCTAAGCTACACTTAGTACTAATAGACGTAGTATACAAGCTTATTCCACAAGTGCGCAACTTGTCCATGGATGATAATTCTGTTCTCAATGATAAAATATTACTATGAAAAAGATCTGACGATAGAGAGAAAATGTCACCACATGGCTGTAACCATGATCCCTTTCATCTGGCATGACATACATCTGGTTACTTCAAGGCCCATTAGAGTCTGCACAACCCAGCCACTTCTTTAATGGATGTATTGGGCAACTACCATGCTCTTACCCATGCTTAATGAACTCACTTAAGGGGGCACCACACGAAGACGATGGAAACAATACCCTAAGCAGACCAGAAGTAAGGAACCACCAGCAAAAGCTGATGGATGGATGGGCCTGGAGGAGAAAGAGCCTGTGCTGATTACTTCTTCTGAATCCCTAGGCTGGGGGTTCCTCACTCTGAAGGTGTGGAAGGATGCAAATTCCCAGAAAACACTTAAGATCTGGCCTGCACTTGACACCCAGCAATACACATAAAGCTCCCAAGGTATGAATAGGCAAGAAGCATTTCCAGTTCCTCAAAAAGAAAGCTGCTGCATAAATACAAGCTTTTATTAGTGCTATGATTTCAAGATAAATACAGCTGTACTTTGTGTTACAAATGCATTTTTTATTGACATTTTGGCAGCAACAGTAAAAGAAAAGCAGGTGATCTGATGCTTTGAAAGCTGTGACCCCATAGATATGAAGGCAGCTTATCTAGGCAAGCTGCTAAGTGCTGTTTCTATCGGATATTCTGATATTCCTGGGGGCGACACAAACCTTTTCTGGAAAGATTTAACAAATGTGGAGAGTTACACATTCTTTGAAATTCTAAGGATGGGAGAAAATTTTCTACTGTCTTGGAAAAGTGACCCAGAGATGGCTAACAAGTAGAATGACAGTGCTTTTTACGCTTCCTCTTTTTGGCTCAGACTAACATATTTACTTCAAATTTCATACAGTTAGTGCTGGGTGTGTTGCAATCTTGAAATAGCAGGAGTAGGTCAACACAACAGCTAAAAGCTTGGTAAATGAGTAACCATATTAATGGTGTCATTTCTTCACCCAAGTGGGGGGAACCCTTTCTTAATTGGTCAGCTGATCCTGGCACGAACAGCACCCGCAGCACAGCCTTGGCAGGAAAGGTCTTTCCCAGAAGGGTTAGCAAGAAGGTAGCACCACTCCTCTCTCGACTGCCAGATTCTGAGACTCATTGTCGAAAAGTTACAAGTTTAGGTGTTGAAACTCCTACCCATGTACAGAATTCCATCTGAACTTCGGCAAGGGGATGCCTGTACCAACTCTGGGATAGTAAAGGGAAGTTTCTAAAAAAAGAAAAAAGAAAAAGAAAAAGTAAGTCAATCAAGTCTTGTGCAATTATTACAATTTTACTGGGCAGCCTGCCTCTGTTACCCAATTCTGCTAGAAAGAGAGAAGCACTTAGCAGATGGGAATTTTCCTAATTCCAAGGAGAAGAGGCTCCCATGTCCACTTCCTGCAAGCTCTGGGCTCCCAGGTCCTTGAGCTCTGTAAACATTAACTCCTTTACTTGAGGCCACAATGGGGAGACCCCCCACCCCCCGCCACTGACCCAACGTCTCCCGTCCACAGCACTTCCTGGGGGCGACACAAACCTTTTCTGGAAAGATTTAACAAATGTGGAGAGTTACACATTCATTGAAATTCTAAGGATGGGAGAAAATTTTCTACTGTCTTGGAAAAGTGACCCAGATATGGCTAACAAGTAGAATGACAGTGCTTTTTACAGTAGGCAGGAGCCATAAGATTAATGCTGAAGAAAGGCCACCTGGGCACCAAGCTTGAGCTTCGAGGGAAAGGAGTCATCATCATTACATGCACAATAAAAAGATTTGAGGTGGAAAAAGAAGTTTCGATGTTTTCTTCAGTAAATAATCCTCTACTGAAAAACAGAAGAAAATCTGAGACTTCTGGTTATAAAAGGGAAGTTATGGTAGGTGCCAGGAAAAGATACTCATAAGAATCCAAGTGTTTCAACTGCATTTCATCATAAAACTGATTCTTCTGAGTTTACAACTGACATCTGATGAGTTCTTCTGGCTGATGTTCGTTTCAGTAGACTTTATTTTTGGAACATTCTGTGTTCTTGAAACTGTTCTACAGATACCTTCTTTATAAGAAACTCCACTTTGTCACCTTTTTCTCTAAAAACGAAAGGATTTCTCTTTAGCTTTAATAAACATAACTTTAAATACTAATCAGTAATTTTGATTTTCCCATCATTGTAACACTTAAGCCTTGAAAGGGAAAAATGCCACAGAGAGGCTGTAATGACGGGGGTTTTGCCAGATGTTTCTGAGAATCAGAAGGTCAGTGCAAGTCTTCCAGTCTGCAGTTCTGCAGTCTCTGCTGAGCACTGCTACAGGTGTCCCGATTCAAGGCCCAAGCTGGGAACCACATCATTTCTGGAGCTGCTAAACCACAACACAGGAAGGAGCACAAGATACTGGTTAAGAGCATCCTTTGGAAATCAGACCTCTTTAAGTCCCAACTCCAACACTGAGAGCTTCGGCGTGCACTTCTCCAGGCTCAGTCTCCACACCTCTGAAAGGAGGATTACACCTGTGGGGCTGCTGAGAGGTTCAGAAGAGATGACTTCTACAAATCACTCAACAGTTTATGGCAAATGAAGTGTTTAAGAATGGAGTCTGCACTGATGTGGAGAGAATCACTGAAGGTGAAGTACACCTGGCTCTATAAAGGTTTGCCCTTCTCCCATCTGTTTCAGTCACAGGTCTTCATAACATAATTTTTTTTTTTTCCTTTTTGTCTTTTTTCGTGACCGGCAACGGATTGCAACCCTCAGTGTTGTGCCCGTACCGGACCGGGACCGGCTACGGGATCGCAACCCTCGGTGTTGCCCCT